ATATTCATTGCATGCAAAGTGAGTATATTTTGATGATTATGGCTTACAGCTTATGAAAACCTTTTCACAATATTCTAATTTTACGCCATATTATAACAAATAAAGGCTTGAAAATCTCACTTTGCATGTAATGAGTCTTAGTTTCACCTTCTAAGTTGAATTAGTGAAATAAATGAACTTTTGCACGATATTCTTACTTTTGGAGTGCTCTCCAGATTGATTTTAAATCTCTTGCCGAATGTTAATTTACTCATTTATGTCTATATTTATTCCTTTAGAGGCATTTGCAGGAGAAACATCTGAGTTGATATTAAAGGAAACATTACTGAGATCTCCTGCGGCAACAGAGCGACTTGAAAGAGAGTTGGTCTCACTTCACGGATGGTGACGTTTCAGCAGTGACTCACAGCATCAAAGCCTCCTATTTCTCATTCATATTCATAACATGCGAAGATTCAATCTGCAGTTGAGACTGAATGACTAAAACGATCTGAGCTAAATGTTTATGGTGGTAGATTAATAATGCACACTTAAATTCTCTTACAGCTCAGATGATGCACCAGCCCAAGACATCGGCATTCAAGAGAGTAAGTTGTTTTGATAAATATCAAGAAATTTCTTTCCTCAATGATTCTTAGTATTTAACCCTTTCAAGCCTACATGATCAAAACCTGTCGCACATGCCTTCTGTCGTCTGCACTGTAAAAATGAATATGCTTTATCTAATCAATAAAATTGTGGCAACAGATTACAAGCAATATTATTTATTAAATTGAACAAATTAGAATTGAGTAATAGTTAATAAAATTAATATTCGAATTAATTCTAATTTGTACAATTTAATTCATAATATTGCTTGTAATCTGTTGCCACAATTTTATTGAATAGATAAAGCATATTATTTTTTTCAGTGTGATTGATAGACTGTTTAAGCAAGTAAAACGTATTTTAGTGTAATCGGAAACACAATATTGTTAGTAGTATTTCATATTGAACACTTACTGGACTGAAGTAACTCAGGTTCTTCTTTTTTTTTTTATATATGAGCATCAAATATGATGGAGGATCATATATTCGTTCATCTCTCAATTATTATTGTATTGCATTGCATTATGTTTTAAAACTACTTAAAACCAAGCATTTAAATATCATCTTAATAAAACATAATTGGGAGATATATGCATTTTATGTTAGTAGTCTGTCATAATTATAAAGATTATTGATTTACATTACAAGCATCAGAATGTGATCTTACTCTTTGGCCATATAAATATCAGCATTTGCACTAAAATGCTTGTTTTTTGCTCATTTTGGGTCTCTGAATAAAAGCGAGTTGTTTTTCCCACCATATTTTCACTATATCAAGAGCCACATGAAACTCGAAAAATTTGAATATCGTGCAAAAGTTCATTTATTTCAGTAATTCAACTTAAAAGGTGAAACTAATATACAATATAGACTCATTACATGCAAAGTCAGATATTTCAAGCCTTTATTTGTAGTAATTTTGATGATTATGGCTTGAAAATCTTTTCACGATATTCTAATTTTGAATTTTGGGTTTTCATAAGCTGTAAGCCATAATCATCAAAATTATAACAAATAAAGGCTTGATATATCTCACTTTGCATGTAACGAGTCTATATAATATATTAGTTTCACCTTTTAAGTTGAATTACTGAAATACATGAACTCTAATTTTTCGAGTTTCACCTGCATAATAAAGAAACATGTTATATACAAAAAAATGGTCTAAATTACTATCTCACATGTCAGGTTTCACAGGGTTAAAACATTCCTCTATACATTGTTTTAGTAAATTAACAGCTGTAGTTATTTATTTGCATATTTGTTTGAATAAATCTGATATGTCTGGCGTGTGTGTGTGTGTGTGTGTGTGTGTGCAGACGCCGATGGCTCGGTGTTCGTGTCTGAAGCGCGCCTCAGACGGACGCTGCAGGTGAGATGTGTTGGTCTGCCAGCGAAGCCGATGTGACCTTGTGCCGCCGCTGGGGTGCAGATTCACAAACAAGATGAATTTAATCCTTGACAGACTGCAATGTCTTTGGAAACACAGATTACAGACATGCTACATTTTTAATCAGGAATTTCATTCTGATTTAGGATATTATTACAGTGCCTGTCTGTAAACTGTATTTAAAAGCAGGCATAAGGGAGAATGGGGCAAGTTGTCACACAGTATTTTCATATGTTTTTATTAGGGCAACAGTTAAATAATCACAATGTATGTTGACCAAAATGCTGGTTTATATAATATAGTATGTTACCTTTTACATTTGTGTTTCTTAATCAGATGTTTTGTGGTTCATTAGATTTAGGGGAAAAGCTTATGCTCTTTAGTGCCAGTTTACACTGTGACAACTTGCCCCACTTTGTGTGACGATGTCTTTTTACTAAAAGGTATGATATAGTCTTGTTGAAAGAAGTTCATATTTTATTTATTCACCAAGGATGCATTACATTGATCAAATGAGATTTATAATATTACTAGAGATTACCATTTCAACTTTCATGTATCACGGTTTCCACAAAAACTCTTTTCAACATTGATAATAATCAGAAATGTTCCTTGAGCATCAAATCCTCACATTAGAGTGATTTATAAAGGATCAAGACTACAGTAATGATTTGATCACAGGAATAAATGACACTTTACTATATATTCACATAGAAAACTGCTATTTTAAAATGTAATATTTCTGTTTTTACTGTATTTTGGATCAAATAAATGCAGCCTTGGTGAGCAGAAGAGACTTCTTTCAAAAAAACATCAAAACATCTTTCCAGCCCCAGTTTTCTGTGTGTGTGTGTGTGTGACCTTGATGTGCTCTTGTTCCAGCCGTACGGATGGCAGCTTCACGCTCCTCCTCGCAGAAAGTTGCTTCAGTCTCCAGGATTGTTGCCGTATTCTCCTCTGAGTGTGACTTACAACGGCAAGACCTGTATCCTCTTCAGGGCCCGCAAACTGGCCATCCGGTACAGGAATCACAGTTTAGTGGACCTCACCGAGAGAACCTTTAGCCCAGACGCGCCGGTGGACACCAAAGGCTCCTTCTGCAGTAAAGACAAAGCCATGTAAGTTCAGTTGCACACTCTTCTAGAACAGGTTTTCATGCGCTAATGTTGATTATTTTCCTCATTGTTGCGGCTCCTCTCTTCCCAGTCTGTCAGTAACGCTCTGTTTACTCTAAGAAGCCCCTCCTTCTGTAAAGCACACTGTGCTCTGATTGGTCGGCTTTACTGTTGTGATTGGCCAAGCGCTTCGAGTGTGTTCGGGAAATGCCCCGCCCCTTTCCATAACCGCCAGTTTAACACACTACTGACTAACTCAACCAGGCCCCGCCCCTTTATTCTGCGTATTAATTATTATAATGAGGAATATTCTTATTTATTCCCGGAAGAAACTCAAGACTACAATGGAGGCGTTTCGAGTTCAGACTGAACACTGAGATGAACTGTATAGTAAAACCTCAGTCTTTATTGAAAAGATCAGCTTGACAGCTAAAGTGTGTACGTGTTAAACTTGATTGATATTTAATAATATTTTTGACATCTTTTGTTATTCTCCAGACTCAATCTACGGTTTGGCGACGTGGAAGATCTCAGAGGCCTCTCCATCAGGTTATTTCTTATTTTTTTCTTCATTAACTATAAAAAGTATGGACTTATTGCCTTGAAAGTGATATGACAAAAGATAGCAATCTTTAATATTCTGCTATTTTAATATTCTTATATTAACATTGACATGATCCCCTATAGAGGCAGTCAGTCGCAAACAGCTCTGGTATTAATATTAAAGAAAACCTATTTATAATGATTATCTTATTGTTAATGTTAGAATATTAAAATACAGAATGTTTTAAAAAGTGTTAATGTTTGCTCTTAAATGGGTACGTTAATATAAAATTCAACCGGTGCCATCACGTGTGTCAATATTGGTTAATTTACAGTGCAATATCTTCAAATGCACATTTTTTCTTGCACTTTTTTAATCAAAAAGCAGAAATGATTTTTGAATGGCTTTGCAGAAAGGTAAAGACACATGACAGTATATATATATATATATATATAAAAAAAATCAATTCTGTCCTTTTCCTGGAACCCTTCTTTGTCTGATGCTACTCTAAGCAATGCCTGAACCTAGTATTTTGAGCACTTCTTGGGTTGTTTTTGCCTCTTCGCTTGCTTTAGTCCACTTTTGTAAGTCAAAATATAAATGTATATGTGTGTGTTTGCATAGGCTACAGATGTCAAACACGTTCTACGAGTCTGCGGGACAGAACTGGTTCACTCTGGATAACGTTCACATCCATTACAACTGGACGAACGAGGCCACGTTCAACGCCACAGATGTGTACGCGCCGTCCACTAACTCCTACCACTGCCAGCACGTCAGCAGCCTCCAGAAGTACGACACGCTGCTGGTTCCCAGTGCCAACACCGACCACGCCGCAAACTGGCACATCACCTTCACAGACTTCCAGGTTGGCAGCAACACTTTCCCTCTGATGAACGCCTCGTGTGTTGCGATCGTAGCATCTTGTGCAGTATTTTTAGGCTCTGGTGGGTGTGTGATGTGGGTTACACAAGCTTGTGGTTTGGCATGAGTGCAGCGTCTTTTTAAAAAGCTCAAAATGCAGAGTTTGTGGTTGAACATGCTGAGTTTGAGTGAAATTAAATTCTGTATAATATGGAATATCAAAAACTATGCATTATTCTGCTTTGCCTGGATGGATGGATGGATGGATGGATGAATATAAGATAGATAGATAGATAGATAGATAGATGGATGGATGGATGGATGGATGGATGGATGGATGGATGGATGGATGGATGGATGGATGGATGGATGGATGGATGTGTGGATGGATAGATAATGGATGGATACAGGCGCGGAGTTTGCGGGGGGGCAGGGGGAGCGTTGCCCCCCCGGTGGCTGAAACGGGTAATCGCATTTTCTTAAAAAAGCTGTAAAAAAACTACCAACCCCAATCTCTATAAACAGTTATCGCTCACTCGGTCGATTGTGTCATCTAACTCTGAGAGAAGCTTTTCTGCGATAAATGGGCGTCAATTTGAAATGTGCTGGGGACAGAGACGTACTCGAAAGGGCATTTTCACAAGTGCTGGGTACGCATTCATTCTTTTTCTCTCTTTCGAGTAGGTCATGTTTTGAAAGACGATGTTCTGTAGCTCCTGATGTACATAAATAAAAATGAGCACAATGTCCGAGTATAGTGAGTATAAAGTATATACGCCCTTTATTGCATAAATAAAAATGAGCACAATAGCACTTTTTTCATGTGTATAGTGAGTATATAAAGTATATACTCCCTTTTTCGTGTATACAGTGATGGTCCAGATCCAGGACTCGGGAGGTTCGAGGTTCTAATCCGCACTCGTAAAGTTTTTTTTTTCCCCTCATCAAAACCAATAGGTAGCCTAATCCCGTGTCTTAAATTTTTTTCAATGATTCATGAAGTATAAATGCGAAATTTAACTAGTTTTTTAATCATTATCATTGCCAGAATGTGTTTTGAAAAAAGGAAAGAAAACTTTAAGGTTGAAGATAATATTTTAACAGTGCAAAAGTGGTCCACATTTTATGATCCTATAACGAAGATGCGACGCGAAGTGGCTGTTAATGCGAAGTTCTAGCTGTTTACAATGACATAAAGGCAATAAAATATCAGTGTATTGTTTTACTGTTTTTTCTTGGGATAAAAATAAATATGTGTTTATTTAGCATGTTTTTTTTTTTGCCCCCCCTGACTCGAATGTCAAACTCCGCCTATGGATGGATAGATGATGGATGGATGGATAGATGATAGTTGGATGGATGGATGGATGGATGATGGATGGATCAATGGGTTGGTTGATGGATGGATGGATCAATGGGTAGATGGATGGATGGATAGATGATGGATGGATGGATATATGATAGTTGGATGGATGGATGGATCAATGGGTAGATGGATGGATGGATAGATGATGGATGGATGGATGTATGTGTGGATGGATAGATAATGGATGGATAGATGATGGATGGATGGATCTATGATAGTTGGATGGATGGATGGATGGTGGATGGATCAATGGGTTGATGGATGGATGGATAGATGATGGATGGATGGATCAATGGGTAGATGGATGGATGGATAGATGATGGATGGATGGATGGATGGATGTGTGGATGGATGGATAATGGATGGATAGATGATGGATGGATGGATATATGATAGTTGGATGGATGGATGGATCAATGGGTAGATGGATGGATGGATAGATGATGGATGGATGGATGTATGTGTGGATGGATAGATAATGGATGGATAGATGATGGATGGATGGATCTATGATAGTTGGATGGATGGATGGATGGTGGATGGATCAATGGGTTGATGGATGGATGGATAGATGATGGATGGATGGATCAATGGGTAGATGGATGGATGGATAGATGATGGATGGATGGATGGATGTATGTGTGGATGGATGGATAATGGATGGATAGATGATGGATGGATGGATATATGATAGTTGGATGGATGGATGGATGGATGATGGATGGATCAATGGGTAGATGGATGGATAGATGATGGATAGACGATGGATGGAGGGATAGATGATGGATGGATGGATTGATGGTTGGATGATGGATGGATCAATGGGTAGATGGATGGATAGATGGATACTCACCATCTAGTCATCATGTGTTTCCTCACAGATCCAGGCGTTTAATGTTCTGTCCAGTAAGTTTGCGTCGGCCAGCGACTGCGAGACGTTCTTCACTCCCGCGATCCTGATGGGTCTGATCACGTCTCTGATCCTCCTGCTGGTGCTCGCGTACGCGCTGCACATGGTGGTTCACCTCAAGCACATCGACCGCTACGAAGAGCACAAGACCACCGTCTACTTCCCTCGCAGCACAGAAGCGGAGAGCACAGACAAGAACAACCTCTAGGGCCCCGGAGAGAGAGAGACACACACTTCTGTGACTCTGAGCCAGAGAGAGAGAGAGAGAGAAAATCAGCGGACGGGACTCTAGATCCCATCCGAACGGGAGCCAGGGATCTTCGGGACTGACTGCACCACGGCAGTGACATCATTGTGGTGGGACAGTGGAAGTCCGAATCAGTTCCTTCAGGAGCTTCACAGGTTTAGCACACAGAGGACTGGGAGACATCGACCAGTTCTCCAGCAATTAAACATCCAGCGTCAGGTTTCACGAGCGCTCATTTCTGAGAGAGATCTTCAGATGTTTGAATGCAATTCGAAATAGCACAATAATCAATATATCTTACATTTGCATCGTCTGTCTTAGCTTCTGTTTGACTGCTGAGGACCAGTTTAACTTCAATACTGATGCGCCTTTAAAGTCAACATTGAAACCAGTTTACCTTTGTAATAGGAGACATGTGCACAAATGCATGCAGTTGATGGCGCAGATCAACAGAAGGAAATCAAGGAACATGAGTTAAAAAAATTATTTCATGTTGACTTTGAAGTTTTAAACAAACCGTTATGATAGTGTATTATAGTTTTAATTTGACTATCAATGAAAACAGGAATGCATTTCCCCGCCTTGATTAGAGAAAAAAAACACTCGAATAATTAATAAAAAATACTGCGAATACAGTGTTTAACCAGCAAATATTTTGACACTTTTTCCTTGAGGAGTTGCAAAAATCAAAAATTAATTACTGATGTTATTTTGAGAAGATGTATTTTTTACAATTCTTGTGTTATTATGGTATTTTTTGTGTAGATTGTATGTTATATCTGGTTTTTGTAATTTCTTATTTAAATTTTTCCCGTCTTTTGTGTATGATTTAATGCTGAGCCTTTGGAGAGTGGCTTCTTATAACTATTGAAGCAAAACAATGGAAGCAACATGACGTCTGTTGTGTAGTGAACATGCTGCATGCCAGTGGCTAGAGACATTTCACAACCAGAATAATCAGATGGTTTGCATTGTACCATGTACTGTATATTGCTAACAATCATAATGTGCTAAATAAGGGAAAATATGTTTTTTTTTTCATGTACACATGTATTTGGGAACATAATAATAGCTTAACTTTGTTCAGCAGACATTTATGCAGATAAATTGGAGATGTGAAATGGGCTATGATGTATTAATATTTGATTATTATTGTCCTCTCAATCGAGTTCAATAAAACCAGCAGCACAGTTGCGTTTCAAAATGATTTTGTTTTGAGAATGTTTGAATGGTACCATAATATACAGGAGTTTGGAAATGAGTTGACTGATTATATCAAATCCAGATATAATTAACAAAGAAATGTTATTATTTCTACAAACAATCTATGAACTCTACAAGAATAAAGCGTTTGCTAATAGCGCCATCTAGGGACAGTTAGCTCACCCTAAAAAGGAACATTTTGTGATCATTTACTCACCCTCAGGTTATTATATAAACCTGAGGTTCTTTCTTCTCCTGAACACAAAAGAAGATGTTTTTTAAGAATGTTGGTAACCAAACAGTTTTTGATCCCCATTGACTTCCATAGTATTTTTTTTCCTATACTATAGAGGTCAATGGGCACCAGAAACTGTTTAGTTCCCAATATTCTTCAAAATATCTTCCTTTATGTTCAACACAAGAAAGAACTTCATGCATGTTTAGAAAAGCTTAAGGGTGTGTAAATAGCTAATGACAGATATTTCAGTTTTGGGTGAACTATCCCTTTAAAGTTCAAGGTTTCGTGTCAAATCTTGCTTCAATCTTTTTAGATCTAAAATTTAAAGGACATCTATATAGTTTGTATACAGCAAATTTATACTACGCTAATTATTATAAATGTGATAATATTAATGTGTTTTTCTACGTATTATAGTAGAATACTGTTGGATGTTGTTGTTTTTTTACTCTAATTTGTATTTCTTTATTTTAATCTTTGTTTGTTTTTACACCATTTTTCACCACGCAAATGGTGTAGTAATATTATAATATAATAAAGTATTAATTCGAAGGAAAATAAAAAAACGTCTGCAAAATTTTTTTTAAAACAGAAATAAATATATCGAATCTAGTTCTCCGAATAATAAGAATACTATTATAATATTGACATCAGGGGTTTCGTTACGAATCGTTTTTCGAGGACACAGCACGTTAATCGTGATATAGTTTATTAAAATATAATAAAGGATTTGATTACAGTGGAATTAAAAAGAACATTTAATCCATACCTTAAAACGTGTCGAATCTAGTGTTCTGAATCATCAGAAAGCTTTTCGATCACGGAAGCCACGGTAGTTTCTCGCAGCAAGGTCCTCATGTTGAGTCGCGTGTCATTTGCAAGTAAATTATTACTTTTTCGTTATATTCCCCCCTTTTCAATCCCAACCCATAGAAATCTCTTTACCGCCCGGTTTGTCATGACTATGGAGAGATGCGTAGTTAGATGTTTGCCGTGTGAGTCCAAACTGACCATCTCGTTTACTCTCGACGGCAGTAATAAACAGATGCTGCGCGAGCAAACAGAACCGTTAGGGAAAGTTCTGTCTCGAATAGCGTCCGGCGTCATCAAAACACGAAGCAAAGCGAGTAGATTAAAGAAAAACAACGGGAAAAGTGAGACTCCGGAAGTGGATAAACCCCAAATCAGTCTGTGTGTAAATGGAGATCACGTGTCCGTGGAGACCGTGAACTCTGATGCTTGGTTGGATGGGGCTGTGCTTCATGTGGGGGATTTGAAGTACAAAGTGGAACGAAACCCTCCAACATTCACTGTATCCGAGCTGCCATCGTCTCTAATGTCCGGCTTTCCAGTTTGTCCCAAGCTGGAGATAGAGTTTGGAGATCTCAAGGACTGTAAGTTCATATGGCTCAAGGAAAGCTCACCCAATGCCCAAATGAGAGGAGATCCAGACTGCTGGAGGGAGGCAGGACATGAACGTGTGTTTACACCATCTAATCAGGACATTGGTTTAAGGGTGATGTTGAAATGCACACCAGGGAATGGATCCAAATTTGGGGGACCCAAGGAGCTGGTGTCTTCAGGTGCAGTAGAAGCCGGTCCAGGAACGTGTACCTTTGATAACAGGCACATTTACACTCAGAAACTCACAGATGATTCTTCACTGAGGGTTGTGTCTTATAACATCCTTGCTGACGTCTACGCTCAAACTGATCTGTCCAAAACGGTGTTGTACCCTTACTGTGCACCATACGCCTTAGAAATGGACTACAGGCAGAATCTGATCAAGAAGGAGCTGTCGGGGTACAACGCTGATCTAATTTGCCTCCAGGAGGTGGATAAGAGTGTTTTTTTAGATAGTTTATCTCCTGCGTTGGATGCTTTTGGGTTTGAAGGGGTTTTCAAAATCAAGGAAAGACAGTATGAAGGTCTGGCGACGTATTTTAGAAGGTCAAAGTTGAAGTTGCTGGAGCAGTATGATGTTGTGCTGAGCGGGGCCTTGGCGGCAGATCCTCTTCATAGGGAACTGTTGGAGAAAGTGTCCACCAATCCCATCTTGAAAGAGAAGATCGAAACCAGGTCAACGGTGTTGCAGGTATTTCACTGCAACAGATTAAAGACCTTAAATCAATGATTTGACTCCCATTGTCCAACAGGGCTCCAAGACTTTTCCAGTTGTTTGGGATTTACTGGATCAGGTTTAAGGATTTTATTATTTAGCTTAAGCTTGGTTTAATGAAGAAGAAAAAAGTATATATATATATATATATATATATATATATATATTTTAGGGATGGGCAACGATTAATCGCGATTAATCGCATCCAAAATAAAAGTTTGTGTTTACATAATATATGTTTGTGTAGTGTGTATAATTAATTTGTATATATATATATAAATACCCACACATGCATGAATATATTTAAGAAATATGTGCATGTATATATTTTATATATATTTATTCACAATTAATATTATATATAAATAAATATTTGATATTTTAATAACACATTTTTCTTAAATATATACATGCATGTGTGGGTATTTATATATACAAATTAATTATACCACACACATATTATATAAACACAAACTTTTATTTTCGATGCGATTAATCGCGATTAATCGTTGCCCATCCCTAATATATTTAAAAAATATTTTTATATACACTAATAGTCATAAAAAAGCTTTTACCCTTAAGATTGCATTTATTTAATAAAAAATTCAGTAAAACCATAATTTTGTGAAATATTATTAAAATGTAAATTAACTATTTTTCTATTTTAGTAAAATTTCAAGTGTTATTTATTTGTGATGGCATTTCTCTTAGTTTTATTTATTTTAATGCAATTTAATTTGTTTCAATGTTAATTTAATTAATTTACAAAAACATTTTCCTGAATTAAAATAAGACATTTCTTTTATTTTGATTCTTTGCTTCATTTTTTGCTTATTTTAATCCTTGTTTTGTCTTGCTTCAAATTGTATCTATGCAAAAAACCAACAAAAATGCATCGCTTGCCCAATTTCTCAGGTGACCATTCTGCAGTCGTTATGCGACCCATCAAGGATATTGTGTGTTGGAAACACACACCTGTACTGGCACCCTAAAGGTAAGCATCAATGTGAATGGAATGGCTTGATTTTAATTCAATTCAATTTAACCATATTGCTTTATTCAAACAGGGAATGATCCATGTTAACATCAGTAAATTATGGAGTGCCACATGGGTCTGTTTTAGGCCCTCTGCTATCTACTTGGTTAACTTTAAATTCAAGGACTTTTCAAGGACTTTCCAGGTCTAATACCCTCAAATTCATGGACTTAATGACACATTTGTTGTGTCCAACAACAAACATCGAGGTTTCATCATAGTAGTTTTGTGCGCACGTGAACGTCATGGCAAACGCACGACACAAAGTGCCTCTTAACGTAACGCGTAAATGCACGTAATTAACATAAATCAAGCAAGCTAGTATGATGGGCCTTGAAGTGTTGGCAAAATATTAATATTATACAGTAAATTAAACAATATACATATTTATTTTATTTGTATAAAATAGAAATAATATGGATTTTTTTACACAAAATAAATTAAAGTACCTATGTATTCAAAACACTCCAAGGCCTTGAATTTTTTTTTGGACACAATAAATGTGTCCCCTCATTAAGTCCTTCAATTTGAGGGTATTGAACCTGGAAAATTGAAATCCTTGAATTTAAAGTTAACCAAGGTGTGGGAACCCTGAAGATAGCAGAGGGCCTAAAACAGAGCCTTGTGGCACTCCATAATTTACTGACCCATGGGAGATAATATTAAAGGCGAGCATCAATGTGAATGGAAGGTGAACATGATTTCACCAAGTTGCTTAATCAACTTTACAATCAACCAATCAGATTTAAGGGACACGTTTGTTGTCAAGTTTAAGCTTAGAACCAGGGTGGAGTACTTAAACATCAGTGTTATTACCCTCTGATTTTAGGGAAAAGTTATGGGTAGGGTTATAGGTTTAGGGGTAAGGACTACATTTTGGGACAGGAATGTTGATCCAGGAACATGTCTTACTTGAAGGGAATGACGTTATATTGTGTTTCCAGGAGGAAACATTCGACTGGTCCAGATGGCTGTGGCCCTGAAGTACATGAAGCAGGTGGTGACGGAGAAGCATCCCGGAGCCAGGCTTATATTCGCGGGGGATTTCAACAGCACGCCCTCCTCCGGCCTCTTCCAGCTCGTCTGTCAGGGATCCGTCTCGGAGAATCATGACGACTGGGCCTCCAATGGCCCAGAAGAGCAGATCCAGGCGGGACTCACTAACCCGTTCCAGCTGGCCAGCGCTTGTGGGGTCCCGGCCTACACCAACTACGTAGGGGGCTTCCAGGGGTGTCTGGACTATATATTTGTGGAGCCGCATGTGCTACAGGTGGAACAGGTCATTCCTCTGCCCAGTCACGAGGAGGTCACGACCTCTCTGGCCCTGCCGAGCGTCTCGCACCCGTCTGATCACATCGCGCAGGTGTGTGACCTCAAGTGGAGAACAACTGACTAACATTTGCTTCAAATATGTCCATGCACATCAATCATCACGTTACTTGGACCATATTATAACTAACAAAAAAAATTGAGCTTTTAAACGATCAGATTTTCATTTCAGCATTGTATTTGTATATATATCATATATAGGTTCATTCTCACTTGTACAATTTAATATTTATGATGAGGATGAATTATTGTGTGACATTTATCAAATGACTATTGACTCCTACTTGGCGATATTAAAAGCTGCATTTAAAATATGATTGTTTTTAAATTCTTTTGCTTTTCAAACTGGAAGAATGAAAATGGTTCAGAAAAATAACCAAATTCTCTTGAATAGAAGCACTGAATACTATTGTTTTCAGTGATGCACAATGTTAGCATCAAGAAAATAGTTTGGTTTCAAGACTCTGTAAAGTACGGAGGCGTATTTCATTCACTTGAAGAAAAAAATCTACTCTGTTTTTCTGAATTAACGAGTTAATTTTTCATGAGAAATTTTTTTTTTGCTGTTTTTCTGAATTAATGAGTTAATTTTTCATGAGAAAATTTATTTTTGCTGTTTTTCTGAATTAACTCATTAATTCAGAAAAACAGAGCAAAAAAAAAATTCCATTAAAAATTAACTCATTAATTCAGAAAAACAGAGCAAAAACTTTTTTCTCATGAAAAATTAACTCGTTAATTCAGAAAAACAGAGCAAAAATTTTTTTTCTCATGAAAAATTAACTCATTAATTCAGAAAAACAGAGCAAATTTTTTTTCTCATGAAAAATTAACTCGTTAATTCAGAAAAACAGAGTAGATTTTTTTTCAAGTGAAGGCAATACGCCTCCGTAGTAAAGCATTAAACAATGACAGTTCATTTCTTTCTTCAAAAGCGAGCCTTTGTTAATGCACAACCATACAAGTGATGCATTTCACACTTTTATTCATTGTTTTGGTGCATTTTAAAAGGGAACAGCTGCTAAATGATTGAATATTTTCAAAAGCTTGGAATAAAAACAGTTGATTATGTCTTAAATATTCTGAATAGGTTTATTCTCAATTTAAATGGGAAATCAAAAGCAGGTCAGGCAAGTGCGTTCACATAGTAAAGCACAGCGCGTTTAAGGCAATCGTGATTACATACATAATAAAAAGGCTGCTTATTTACAACGCCAGACCAGTTCCTAATATAATCTTATGCATGTTAAAACTAATGCTTAAATCAATGCATTGCCAATCTCTTAAGTGTGCTATTATAAGCACAATCTTTTATTTATGAAATGCATGCTTCTCTTGGAAAGTTCTCATTAACAATGCTTGATGTATAAGTACAGATGTTAAGTCTAGTGTGTACGGCAGTACACTTACTGTAACAAAAAATCCAGGGCTACTGCAAGAGCTCCTTAACAAAAGTAGTAGTTTTCATATTTTTGGTCAAATCTATAAGATTATATGGCTACATACATCAAGAGGAATGAATCTGGGAGAAATATCAGTCAAGGTCAAAGGTGCAACGAATCAAAATAAAATGTTAAAATGCACTGCCAAAGATTGACATCCGCATCAGGTGAATTTTTGGTAACAATCCATTGAAAATGGTACATGAACAGCTTCTGTGACAGATCAATCCACTGATCATGTCCTTTGGGAAAGCACACATCCTGTTTGAACAGGAAGTGCAGTTTAGCGTTTGGAGAGCTGCTCGGAAAGCCAGTCTAATCCCTCGTATAAACCAGTCCCTTGAGTCGCACAGGTCGCCTGGACATACCACTGATAAAGAGAGAGTGAAAAGGTCCATTTTAACATATTCTTACCAATAACAGATATATAACAGCTTGAATTTTAATATTCACATCTTAAAGGATTAGTTCACTTTTAAAAAAACTTTTGCTGATAATTTACACACCCCCATGTCATCCAAGATGTCCACGTCTTTCTTTCCTCAGTCGAAAAGAAATGAAGGTTTTTGATGAAAACATTCCAGGATTTTTCTCCATATAATAGATTTCAATGGGGACCAAATGGTTCAAGGTCCATTTGTAACGTCACATAATACGTAATTACGTTCAAAAGGTCACGGGCGACGTAGAGCAAGAATAGAGCAAGGCTAGCATTTGTCCTTAGAAAAGTTACATTTTTGGAATAAGTTTTGAAATGGCCGATGATAAGGCCCTTATTCATCGTCTGGTGTCGTTTAAAGACATTTGAAGCTGCACTGAAACTGTTAAGTGTCTTTTGGACCTTGAACCGTTTGGACCCCATTGAAGTCCATTATATGGAGAAAAATCCTGGAATGTTTTCATCAAAAAACCTTCATTTCTTTTCGACTGAGGAAAGAAAGACATGGACATCTTGGATGACATGGGGGTGAGTGAATTATCAGCAAAAGTTTTTTCAAAAGTGAACTACTCCTTTAAATATTTCAGCCCATAAAAAAAATGCAATGCATTAAAATCCAAGCATGGTTAATGCAATGCCTATTTTTTTCAAGTAGTGCAATTCAACAGGCTTTTTTGTTTCAAAAACATACGCCATTATTTTACTTCCATACGGAGTTGTCAAAAAGTACACAGACCTGTGACAAATCCGATGAGTGTGTGAGTACAATCGGTAATCAGTGGCATTTACGATTCTGCTTCGCGTCACGTTTTAAAAATTTCAGTACCAAAGTCGGTACTTTTTGACAACACTAATAACAGATACATTAGGCATTTAAATGATGAAACTTCATATTACACATATCTGATTCATCTATTTGCTCAAAGGTAATAACCATAATAACCAATTACAATTTTGTATTAAATGGAGCTTATAATTATGCACAACTATTATAATAATTTTGCACATTAAGCTTACTCACAGTTTTGCTTCGGAGTGCTTGCAACCCAAGTTTGTCCGTCATCTCACTGATGGGCATTGCGTTTGGTAAATCTTGTTTATTAGCAAAAACCAGCAGGACGGCATCTCTCAGTTCATCTTCCTGAAGCTGTTGAATTTTGAAACAGAACTACTCATAAACATGTCACATTTACTGATGATCTGTGCACAATAAAGCAATCGCTCTGTCAAAATGCCCCAATTATGCTATTTTAAAGCTTCCGAGTTTTGTTTTGGAGGTCTGCTACAATCCGAGGTCAAAAAAACATTTTAATTTTCTCATAATTGCACATCATCTCATTTCAGCAGTTTAGAATCGAGACTAAACTTTATTTATCGTGCACTTTGATCTTTAAAACTTTTGCAGTTTGCAGACTTTTACATTCACAAACAACAATATAACTCACTGCATGAAAGGTAATATTCGTAAAAGCATAATAGGGGCACTTTAACAGGGTTCCTACAGGTTAAATTCATGTCTTTTTAAGACCATTTATATCAAAAAAATTACTACCTATTTCACGTCCCTACCAGCAAAGAAAAACAAAATCCTTTAACTTGTGTATTTATTTATCAAATGTGGAATGGGTGAGATGATAAAGATGATAAGCCAAGCAGGAGTGAAAAATAAAAACATTTCAGTAGGCCACAAGAAAGTTTGCCGAACAATCTTAAGTTGTGTTTTTACTTATTCCATGCTGGGAATATGGGGAACTGAGAGACTCCTGAACAATAAACATCGAAAATCATAATAATCGTGGTTGACAAATGAAACTTTTAAGCACGGAAAAGTTACATACAGCACAATTTTTAAGACCCAGATATCAAAATTCAAGTCTTTTAAAGGTATTATTTACAAATTCAATGCTTTTGAGGCTTTTTAAGACCCCGCGGGAACCCTGTTTAATAGTTACTCTCATGTGTTGTACTGCTCCAGAAATGTTTTTAATCTCCTCACCATCTTCTGAAGCTCTTCTGCTGCTTCTTGTGCTCGCTCGCGATCGTTACTGTCCACAACGAAGATCAGACCCTGAAGAAACAACATTAAAAACATTCATCAGAAAATATAAAGCACAAGTCCTTCTCTTGAAGACTCATATCATACACGTCGCATGCACACAAATCTGCATCACATTGTGTCAAACTCAGACTATTATATAATTATTTGAGATTTTAATTTCAATCACATTTTTACCAAAGAATTGAAATAAATAAAACACCGTTGTAAAGTACACAAAGATAGTCAAAAGGTCTTCCTTCATTTAAAATGAGGGGCTGTTGGTTATATCAGATTAAATTATATTATAATTATATAAATATTAATTTTTCACAGCATTAAAGTAAACCATATGGGCCTATTTTACAATAATTTTTATTAAATATACGATTCAAAGAAAAATATATAATGCATGAGGCTTACAATGGAAATGACTTGAATTAAATAGAATTAAATTGTTGATCGCAATTATCTCTGACAGTTAATCGTCAGCATTAACAATAATTCATATTTGAGTGAAATGACTTGCCTTTAACACACTTTGGTGTGAGTAAATGTGTAAATTAACATTAAAGATTAAGAGTATTCAGTGTTATTTCTAATGTAAACAAATAAAACCTGTCGATTTTCCATTACGAGTGAACTGATGATCCATAATATGAATAATCTCAAACATCCTAACATGAACAGGAGAGAAACTGTTCTGTTCTCCAAATCAGACTCTTGCAAAGGCCGTCCCAGTTCAACTTAATCCTAATAGAAATACCAACATCCCCAGCCGAACTATATCTACACATCGGTAGTTGTTGTTCTAGCAGCTCACAAGGCTGGACGATCAAACTCAATCAGAACGGCCACGGCAGAATGAGCAATTCATCGGCTGGAATGCTGCGACTCCACAGTTGTTTGGCTATCTTAACGTGTGTAAGGGGCCGAGGGGACGTCCTGCTGTGATGGGAGGACATCTATGCATCGGTTTACCTGGGTGTTCTGGAAGTAGTGTCTCCACAGAGGCCTGATCTTATCCTGACCACCCACATCCCACACGGTGAAGCAGATGTTCTTGTATTCGACCGTCTCGACGTTAAAACCTAAAGGAATCACACAGCATTTAAGAGATGAAGATTTTTCCAGTTGTTCGCATCAAGACAATGGAAAAATGTCTCATTTCCTTGAAGCAAAATATCCTTTTTTTCTAGGTAAATATTTGACTTTAAAATGGATGTTTTTGTGAGAATCTCTCAATTTAAATGAGTAGTTCACTTAAAAAAAAAACCCTGATAATTTACTCACCCCCATGTCTTCCATGTCCAAGGTTTTTGATGAAAACATTCCAGGATTTTCTCCATGTAATGGACTTCAATGGGGTCCAAACGGTTCAAGGTCCAAATGAGAGTTTCAGTGCAGCTTCAAACGACACCAGACGATGAATAAGGGTCTTATCTAGCGAAGCGAGCGCTCATTTCAAAAATAAATAAAAAAAAGTTTAAGTTTTATAAGCTCAAATGCTTGCCTTGCTCTGTTCTGTGTGACTCTCCTGTTCGAACTAGCTCATCAAAATGAACAAATCTTTTTCCGAGTCAATTCGTTCATTTCATTCATTGAATGAACCAATGACTCGAAAAAAGATTCGTTCATTTTGATGAACGAGTTCGAACAGGAGAGTCACAAACACGCATCACAGAATAGAGCAAGGCGAGCATTTGTGCTTATAAAACATAAAGTGTTTGATTTTTGAAATGAGCGATGGTTTCGCTAGATAAGACACTTATTCATCGTCTGGTGTTGTTGAAAGCTGTACTGAAACTCTTATTTGGACCTCGAACCGTTTGGACCCCATTGAGGTCCATTATATGGAGAAAAATCCTAGAATGTTTTCATCAAAAACCTTCATTTCTTTTCGACTGAAGAAAGAAAGACATGGATATCTTGGATGACATGGGGTTGAGTAAATTATCAGCTAAAGTTTTTTTTAAAAGTGAACTACTTCTTCAAGGTACATTTATTATAATGTGAAAGTCAAGTCTATAGGATAAACACAGCATTCCTTGACTTAAGTCCCACATATAAATATTTCATCCACACAAATTCATAAGTTTGAGTCTTTTGGCGTCTCATTTGTCTGGATTGATTACCTATAGTTGGAATTGTTGTGACTATTTCTCCCAGTTTAAGCTTGTACAGGATTGTGGTTTTGCCAGCTGCATCCAGACCAACTGAAGGAGAACAGGAAACAAATCACGTCAAACACTTTGGAGAACTTTGCATAAAATACTTCCTTGTAAACAAAGTAAACACCCTAAAACGACACGTGACATTTTACTATCATTTTAAATATTAGACTTGTATAGAAAAGGTTTGAAAAACATAATTTAATGGAAAATATCAACAGCAAAATATACTTTTACTGTACACAAAATAGTCAGTATCGAAGCTAACTAACAAAAACAGTTTCCAACTCACCCATGAGAATTCTCATCTGCTTTTTCCCAAACAAGCGAGAAAAGACGCTTGAAATGGTCAAACCCATGTTAAAACAGCGCAAAAACAACTAAAAAAGTGTAAAAGTCGAACAGTTATTAGAGGAGTGAAACTATCCGGAGTCGCCGCTAGCGCTTTAGCACAGCAGCTTCAGCCCTCAGAGATCAACAACCTGCTCGAGCTCCAGTCCACATCAGCAGGCACAACAACGCCTTCTTCTTCTTCTTCTTATCGTTTTATTTCACTTTCCTCGCTCTTTTCTTCTCTCTGTCCAGCTGGAAGTGTGTTTAGTGGAGCAGTTTGAACGCGAATGTTTCTAAAACCACGTCAGACTAATTTTCGCAACAGCTCCAACGCGGTCGAAATGACGTCACCGGCGCCACGTCACGAAACACTGATGAAGAGGCCGAAGACTGAAGAAAAAAAGTTTTTTTGGGAGACTTCAGACGTCAATCAAGTTTGAGATTGATCGTTTGTATTTACCCACATGTGTGATCTTTTTAGATGAAAATGTTCGAACAGACTGAATCCTAAACATGCATGAAAATGGGATAATGTTACACATGACTATTTGTTTTGTACTTTGTTCTGTTTTTTAACTTTTAGTTTATTTTTACTTCTTTGAACCTTGTTAAACTAATAAAGAGAAAGAAACCTATGATCTATGTTAAATTATACAAATTTGTGTGGCCGTAGTATCTATCTATCTATCTATCTATCTATCTATCTATCTATCTATCTATCTATCTATCTATCTATCTATCTATCTATCTATCTATCTATCTATCTATCTATCATAACTGAGCAAAAAACTATGTATCATGCATTTTTATATTTCTATTCTGTTTATATATACATATATATATACTGTTAAAAAAAATAAAGGGAACTCTTAAACAACACTTAAAAAGTAAAAACAAGAAAAAAGTATTTAATAAGATTATTTCATTCATTCAGATCTATGATGTGTTATTTTAGTGTTCCCTTTCTTTTTTGAGCATGTGTATATATATATTAAATGAGAATGAAACTAAAGTTGTAAATAAATACAGCATTTATTCTAGATATTTTAAAGGCACAGATCAATACTTCATGACATCAGCTCATCCAGAACACACACTAAAACAATTCAAACATGACTCATAACACATTACAGTAACAGTACACGAAATACAGCAGAAATAGTAATAGAACAAAATAATAGTGCATACATAGTACAGCAGTAGTGCATCATTTATGAATTCAGTCATATACATTCTGTATTTGAAAGGCACATATTGAAGGTAGGCAAGTCCATGATCATTAGAACCAAAATTAGGCCAAATGATTTTAAGTTAAATTAACTATAGCCTACCGAATTTAGTGAACTAGATATTCCATTAATTTCTCAAAAAAAAAAAAAAAAAAAAAAAAAGAGACATAATATACACATTCAGTTACGATTTATCGTTTTCACGTTTGGACAGTTGATCCGAGAGCCAATCCAGTCCTTCATATAAACCTGATCCTTGAACCGCACATGTGGGCTGAACGAACCACTGAGAGAGAGAGAGAAACACATGTGACCTCTCACATCATCTGCTCACCTGCATTGAGTGTGTGTGTGTGTGTGTGTGTCTCACTCACCTGTCTTCCTCTCAGTGTGTGTAAACCCAGTCTGTCTGTCAGCTCAGAGACTGTCATGGCTTTGGGTAAATCCTGCTTGTTAGCAAGAACTAACAGAACCACGTCTCTCATCTCATCCTCCTCCATCATCAGTTTTAGTTCCTCTGCTGCCGTTTCAATCCTCTCAGGATCACTGCTGTCCACCACAAAGATCAGACCCTGAATCATACACACACACATGCAAAGTTGACATTTTACAAATAAAACCGCATTTGAAATTGGGCTGCAAAATAAGATTGCACTTAAATAGTGATAAAACTCTGTTACCTCGGTGTTCTGATAGTAATGTCTCCAGAGACCTCTGATGACACTCTGACCGCCGACATCCCACACCGTGAAGGAGATGTTTTTATATTCAACTGTCTCAACATTAAAGCCTAGAGAGGAGGTGGATGGCAGAATCATGAGCAGTTAGACATGACATGCAGAAATTGATAATAATATGTTTTGCTTTGAGTTTCTTACCAATAGTTGGAATAGAGGAGACAACTTCACCAAGTTTGAGTTTGTAGAGGATTGTGGTTTTCCCTGCTGCATCCAGACCAACTTGGAGAAGAAATACATTTATTCCACATGTAAATGCACAAGATTCTTAATCTGAATGTTTTTTTTAATCACATATTAATTAGGGCAAATTAATATGCATTCGTCGTAGAGAAATAGTGTGTTCAAAATTTGTATAATAAGGGGTAAATTACATTTTGAGGGGGGAAAAAAACATTTACTCACCCATAAGCAACCTCATCTCTTTCTTCTTCAAGAGACGTGCGAAAAGGTTAGAGAAGAAGATGCCCATTTTTAAAAGTGCTGATGAAAAGGCTGTTTGCGGTATTCAGGGAAAATAAATGTCCAGAGGACGAGGCTCAGACTGATAGTGTGATGTTGGTGTGAGTGTTTATATGGGCTTTTTGCTTTCGGTTTGACTGACAGCTCGACACAAGACACGCGCGGTTTCTCTCGCGGCAGATCCAGCGCGTTCGATATGACGTCACATAGTCTACTTCTTATCTAAATGATGTAATGTACACTTTAAAATCTCTTAGCTTAATAAAGATTTCAGAAGTTCTGTAAACGAGGATCATGTGCGATGTATTTTTTTTCCTTCAGGCATTGTAAACATAATTTCTGAAGTTTCATATCATAGCATAGGCTACCTACTATTGCTACTATTTGATGCATACCAATGGTTGTTAAATTAAAAATCATAGCTGTTTAGCAACATTTTGGCTAAGAGTTTGAAACATTATGTGGTGGAAAGGTCACCCTTAATTTAATATGATTTTATACAACAAGTACAAAGTATTACGCATAATATATTTTATTCATTTAAAATTTTAATTTGATTACCAAAATAACAACTCTTGTCTTTTTTTTAATCGAAACATTTTCAAAGAAAACAATCACAATATAGAACAATTAAACAGAATAAAAAACAAAAACAAAACAAAAAAAGACTATAAGACAGGGGTATATAACTAATCAGAAAAAAAAATACATATCAAAGGAAAAGATTAAAAGACTTGCATATGTCAACAGTTTTTAAAGCCTTCTTGTTACAAGAGTCAAATATAGTCCCAAAGTAGTGTTGTATTTCAATAAGTAAAACATTGAAAAGTGGTATCTGACCTGAAAATTTACATTTATGTATATAAAATTTTGTCAACAAAGAAAGAAGATTAAGAAGGAATATTTTGTTTTTGTGTAATTGTTCAACTCTTGTCTCTTTGTTTTGTCACGTGATGATGACGTGACGTCATTTCGAACGCGTTGGATTTGTAAACGAGAGAAACTGCGCGCGCGTCTTGTGTGAGAGTGGCGGTGTCGAGCTGTCAGTCAAACCGAAAGCAAACAGCCTATATAAACACTCACACACTCACACATCTTCACACTAGCAATCAGGGCTTCATCCTCTGGACATTTATCTTCACTGAATACAGCAAAAAGCTTGTTCATTTGCACTTTAAAAAATGGGCGTCTTCTTCTCTAACATTTTCTCACGTCTCTTTGAGAAGAAAGAGATGAGGTTGCTTATGGGTGAGTGCGTTTTTTATTTATCTAAAATGTCAACAAAAAAAAAAAGATCTTTACTCTTTGATTCTTATTCGGTTTAAAAAAAATATATATTTCTCTTGTTCAAAAAGAGGCATATTAATTGATACGTGAATTTAATAAAACTTGAATATTGTGCATTTTCATTGTTGAATAAACGTTATGTATATTTCTTTTCCAAGTTGGTCTGGATGCAGCAGGGAAAACAACAGTCCTCTACAAACTCAAACTTGGTGAAGTTGTCACAACCATTCCAACTCTAGGTAAGAAATGTCAGGTCAAACAAATGTTTATTGTTTATTATATTCCATAAGTACTGAATCCCTGATAATGACTGACTCTGATTCTCTCTAGGCTTTAATGTTGAGACAGTTGAATATAAAAACATCTCCTTCACGGTGTGGGATGTCGGCGGTCAGGACGTTATCAGACGCCTCTGGAGACATTACTATCAGAACACTAAGGTAATTATGTGTTCAGTTCAATATGCACCAACTGCTTTTTATGAAATGCCCTAACAAAGTGTGTGTGTGTATGATTCAGGGTCTGATCTTTGTGGTGGACAGCAGTGATCCTGAGAGGATTGAAACGGCAGCAGAGGAACTAAAAATGATGGTACGTCATCTATATCATCAGATATATTACACGAGTTAATCACAGTAATATTGTGTACGAGCATCAAATCCATTTGAACCTTTTCAGCTGGAGGAGGATGAGATGAGAGACGTGGTTCTGTTAGTTCTTGCTAACAAGCAGGATTTACCCAAAGCCATGACAGTCTCTGAGCTGACAGACAGACTGGGTTTACACACACTGAGAGGAAGACAGGTGAGTGAGACACACACACACACACTCAATGCAGGTGAGCAGAATAGAGCTGATGATGTGTGAGGTCACATGTGTTTCTCTCTCTCTCTCAGTGGTTCGTTCAGCCCACATGTGCGGTTCAAGGATCAGGTTTATATGAAGGACTGGATTGGCTCTCGGATCAACTGTCCAAACGATAAAACACACAAAATCATAACTGAACGCATATGTCTCCAGATTTGTTTTATTTTGGGATATTTATGGAATATTGTTAAACATTCTAATATATAATTCTAATTCACTGTATATTTAACTTACTACTGGTGTAAATACACTTTTGTACATGTCTGCCTTCAAAATGTGCCTTTCAAATGTCTTCAATAAATGCTGTATTTATTTACAAAATATTGTAATTATGAATTGTATTTCATTTAAAATAGAATAGCAAAATACCAATCTGTTCTTAGAGGAGCAGTTCACTTTAAAAAAACAAAAAAAAAACGTTTGCTGATAATTTCCTCACCCCCATGTCATCCAAGATATCCATGTCTTTCTTTCTTCAGTCGAAAAGAAATGAAGGTTTTTGATGGATTTTCTCCATATAATGGACTTCAATGGGGTCCAAACGGTTCAAGGTCCAAAAGACAGTTTCAGTGCAAACTGTGAACTGTTCAAAGGGCTTTAAATGATTCCAGACAATGAATAAGGGTCTTACCTAGTGAAAAAATCACTTATTTAATGAACAAATAACAATGTTTAAGTTTTATAAGCTCAAATGCTCGCCTTGGTCTGTTCGTGACTCTCCTGTTCGAACTCGTTCATCAAAATGAACGAATCTTTTATCGAGTCATTTCGTTCGTTTGAAAAAGATTCTAAAGACATGGACGTCTTGGAGTAAATTATCAGCAAAAGTGTTTTTAAAAGTGAACTACTCCTTTAAACCAAACATTCATTACAGAAATAATGAGGGCAAAATAGGTTTGTGTGATTTCTATAATAACATGCTAGCAATAAAATATAGGCTACTAGAGTTACACATAAACGGAAACAGATTTATGCTCAACACAAATTCATAATTGACATTTATTTACACCTGGAAAAAAAATATATACTTGTTCTTCATGAGGGAAACAAAACATTGACATTCTTTCTAGTGAAAAGCTGAATAGTGGTTAGGGGTTTGATAGAAAAATATTGTTTATGCTGAAACGTTGGACTGTGGTTTGGTGTACATGGTTTACAAAACAACGCAAATTTCCATTGATATCGTTCTATAATAATCACCACAGCAACCTCCTGTACAATAACTACCAATATAAATGAGCAGATCAAAAATACAGATGTTAGAAAATATCCATCAGTATAACAAACAGGCATCGTGTCAAAAGCAGTTCGTTTTTAGCGTATTAGAATATACCTCTTTAAAATTCAAGCATGTTAAAATAGGTTTGTTCTTCAAATATAAAACATGAATGGTTGCCCAACAACCAGTGTTCACAAGCCCAGATTCATTCATGAGTCAGCATCCCATGATCCAACATCATAAACCAGGTCGAGAGTGAAGGAGTGCGACGGTCTTTGTCTCTCTAGCTCAAGGCACACAACAGAAGAGATGCATTTCTGGTGGTTCACGTCATGGAATATGAGCATGTGTTATGATTATGCACATTTTGGAGAAGAAAATCCTTCCTGTGGCTCGACACATCCCACCGATAAAGTGCAGGTCAAACAATCATAATTGGTGATATTAAAGCACTGATATACTCTCAAACTACACACTTGGTCCTAATAGAGATCGATCAAATCAAGCTAAACAGAAAATCAAAGGCACAAACGCATTATTCACCTTTATCGGTCAAGCAAGTGTATAGAAAAGCTGTATTTGAAGACTATTGTGCGTTTAAAGTAGTTCACTTTTAAAAAAAACTTTTGCTGATAATTTACTCACCCCCATGTCATCCAAGATGTCCATGTCTTTCTTTCTTCAGTCGAAAAGAAATGAAGGTTTTTGATGAAAACATTCCAGGATTTTCTCCATATAATGGACTTCAATGGGGTCCAAACGGTTCTGATGTATGTTCGTGACTCTCCTGTTCAAATTAGTTCATCAAAATGAATTGGTTGAATCAACCAAATGACTCGAAAAAAGATTTGTTCATTTTGATGAATGAGTTCGAACAGGAGAGTCACGAACGCGCATCACCGAACAGAGCAAGGCGAGCATTTGTGCTTATAAAACTTAAACTTTGTTATTTGTTTTTTAAATGAGTGATCGTTCCGCTAGATAAGACCCTTATTCATCGTCTGGTGTCGTTTAAAGCCCTGAAAACACTGCACTGAAACTCTCATTTGGACCTTGAACCGTTTGGTCCCCATTGAAGTCCATTATATGGAGAAAAATCCTGGGATGTTTTCATCAAAAACCTTCATTTCTTTCGACTGAAGAAAGAAAGACATGGACATTTTTTTTTAAAAAGTGAACTACTCCTTTAAGTGTTCATTTTCTGAATGAGGATGTATACATGATATTGAAGTAGAAGGAAGACCACAATCTCTGTAAAGTTATAACTAGACTAGTTCATTCTGTTTGACCAGCGACGGGTCATTCAGGTCAGTGATGGTGGAGAGGAAAGGAAAAGACAATGGCTTTTTTCCCTTCTGTCGTTAGTTTATGAATTAAAAATAAAAATAAATAAATACAAGTAAAACTGCACTGGTCTTTGTTGGGTTTGCCTTCATTATGAGAAATTCATATTGCATTTGTGCTATGCCGGACAGCTGTGATAATGTGCTCAGATGAAATACACTCTTCAATATTTATAGGTTAGTAGTGTTTGTCTGTGTTAAAGGAGAAATAAATCAAAATCAGTTATTGCAATATCAAAATCAAAACACAGTTGACTGGCTGAATATCATGGAAACATCTCCAGGGAACATTTCGCCCCAAAATATAATGGAAAAAATACATATAAAAGCCTATTTTTAGACCCATTAAGATTTTTAGCATATGACATTTTCTTTACCCATAAATTCTGTAATGATGGTGATTCTCTTTTTTGAACAATAATGTAGTGAATAATAATATTTTACAATTTAATACTTCACAATTTAAATAATGTCATTGTGTTTTTCACAGTAAAGAAAATTAGATTTGGAGAAATGGGTTTAAAATGCATTTAATTATGAAAATAATCCATGCAAAATATAGTTTCTTAAATCCTCAGATTGGCACGAAATATAACCTGATAATCACAAAAATAATGCCAACGAGCAATTCTATATGTATTAATGGTCTAAAAATAGGCTTTATTTTCTTGATTTTAAATATTCCCTCTTCCTCATTTTGGGGTGAAAACATGTTTTTCGACAGGTTTCATGAGAAGAGGAAGTGATGTTCTGGTGTCGCAGCACAACCATTTAAATATCGTAATTATGGAGGTGAATATGAATCCGGCCCACTCCGATCCAGTGCTTTTTCCTGATTCCATCTTATAAGCGTCTTCGTGTTTAAAACAAACGGGAATGTTGATCTCACACGGTGAGACTTACAGCATTCAGATTCAGACCGTGTCCGTATCATGATTTCTGCCATCACTGGTCCCTCGGGCGCTCAGTCGTCTGTGCTGTTTTTTTGGCAATGCCAGCATTGTCCGTTCAAGGGCACTCAGATCCGCAGCAGGAAGTGCACTCGGAGGATCCAGCAGAAATCCGGCGGGGTCGTGTCTGGTGCGTCAGCGTTGGCTGATGGTCACGGGCTCGGTGGTTTGTGTAAGATGCCCTGCAGGTCCTCTGGAAGAGAGAGTATGATGGTCTCGATATGGGACTGTAGTTTGGGCAGAGTTCCTGGTTTGACAGGGAGTTGATCTTTCTCGGCCTGAATCTGAGACACAACACGAGATGAAAAAAAAAAAAAAAGTACAATCAATGTAAAAAAGACTTTTCAAAGTTGTGTTTGTGTAAGAAAAATAGTCATATTTAACACGTTACACAAACTTCTGACCAAACGAACATACGGATTCCACTAAAGTCTAAAGCGTAGACAGTAAAAGTGACTAAAACTGACTGTTTCATTTGAATGAATGGGACATTGTATCGCGATTCGCGGCTGCGCGCATCCAAAAAAAAATCGCAATAATCTTTGTCCTTTGTTACTATTGATATGAAACAAAGTCTCAATTTTCAAATTACGTCCATTTTCTTTAGAAATTCAAAAACATAAATAGCGTTTTGTCGCTGTGGCGTGAGATCGCTCTGGAGAAGCAGCAGCGCTGATCTCTCTTCCGGCTTAATAATACCAGTCACAGCGCCAAATAAACATGAATGAGCATCTGAAAGTGTGTTAAAGATAGAGTACAACTTATCGAAATCCGTATCATGTCACATTGATTCACTAAATCGGCGTTTCAACCGTGGAAAGACGTCAGTTAAACAGCTTGTAATCAATGTATCGTCATATTTACCTCAGAAAACCCACATAAACTCGTTAGTCAGCTAGAAAAAATAACTCTATAGAGGAGCATTTAGCTAAATATATACACCATATTACATATGCATTATAATCTTAATGTTCTTCAATATTTAATGCATATTTGAATAAATCTGGCAAGTTTTTATGACAGCCACCATTTAAATGTTTATATTTCATATAATCTTCTTATTATAAAAATAAATAAGTGTAATTTAAGTGTTTGTATAGCTACAAAACAGTTCATTATTACCTTCATATTAGGCTAATGAAGCCCAACTAGACTCCTATAGTTTACAGCATTAGTTAAGAGATTTGATTCCCTTGAGAAAAATGGGCATTTATTGGAACTGATATCCAAAATAATCGATATTGAATCGAATCGTAATCGAATCGAATTGCAAGCTTGTGAATAGAAATCGAATCGAATTGTGAAATTTGTCTCAATACCCAGCCCTACTCTCTGTCTATGGGCTTCTCCTTGACTATATGCCTTCATGTCCCCCCGATCGCCCTTATAGACGGTAAAAGATTGCCTGCGAGCTTCTCCTCCTGTCTATACGGTCATGTCTCTATTGTGCGACAGAAAGTTGCGTGACTGAAGTACTGACCAGTTTCTCCTTGAGTTTGAGCACCAGGTCGACCGTCTCCACCTCGGTGTGTTTCTGAATCCGCAGCTGTAGGTCTTCCTCACACAGAGCCTCCAGGTGAAGAGCTTCCAGCTTCTGCATCATCTCCTTCCTGCGGTTTCTGAACCAGCCATCGAAGTTCGGAGACCTGAGGAACTGCCTGAGGGGCGAGAACAGCCGAAAACAGGGAACATGCATTGAAGAAAAGATTTGTTTGGGAAGCAGGCTTGTGCAAAATTCAGGATTTTAGAATTGGCCTCTTCCATGAATTGGAATTGGAATTGGAACAGGAAGTTCA